AGTTTTGGGCCCCTCACTACCAGGGGGACATCGAGGCACTGGAGAAGATACAGAGGCAGGCCACCAGATTAGTGAAGAATTTGGAGCATGTGTTGTATGAGAAACGGATGAGGGATCTGGGACTGTTTAGCCTGGAGGAGACTGAGGGGAGACCTTATCCCTCTCTACAAGTACCTGACAGGAGGTTGTAGTGAGGTGGGAGTTGATCTGTTCTCCCTAGTGGCGAGTGACAGGGGCAGGGGGAATGGCGCTCAGGTGCTGACAGGGCAAGGGGAAATGGCCTTAAGTTGCACCAGGGGAGGTTCAGGATGGATATTGGGAAGAATTTCTTTACTTGAGAGTGTTGTCAGGCATTGGAACAGGCTGCCCAGGGGGGTGGTTGAGTTGCCATCCTTGAAGGCATTTAAGAGATGGGTGGATGTTGTCCTGAGGGACATAGTTTAGTGTTGTTGATAGGACTGGGACAAAGGTTGGACTCAATGATCTTGAAGGTCTCTTCCAAGCAAAACTGATCTATGATTCTATAATACTTCAAAGGCCTGTAGACTTCTGAGCCAGTACCTAACGTGAATCCATGGCTTCTGTGGGATACCTACTGGGGTCTGTGTTCCCAAAATACTGGGCCCCTGTAGCTGAACTCATCCTGCTTCAACACATTTACGCAATATGAGTGGGGTTTTTTGAGTGCTTGATTTCTAATTCCTTCCCTGACTCCCCAGGAAGCTCTCGTGGGAGATATTTTTGTTAGGACACTTGCTTTGGAATGACCCGTGTTGCTTTGTGGGTATGTGGAAGTTGCAGGTCTAAGAAAAATGTGTCACAGAAAGTGGAAGGAGGTGGAGTTTATTATGGTCTGTAATCTACTCAGTTCATTCTTAGAGAGATGTGTTTTACTATAATGGTAGAAGCTTTTGTGATGTCTCCTGAGCTGAATTGCCAGAAACTGTTTTATCTCGGAGCTTTTGGTGTTTTATTTTGACTTTCTGGGCTCAGCCCGCTGAGTGCTTTTATATTCAGGGTGCCACGGGAACCTAGCTGGCAGATGTGAGGTACTCTTGGGTGAGAAGCACTGCAGCCATATGTGCTTGGAGTTCAGCATTGAAACTTAAATAATTAACAGTCAGGAGAGTTTCAAAACACTTATTGTGGGCAAATGTCGGTATCAAGTGATAAATAGAGGTTCAGTTCTGTAGTGTGAATCAGTCACGTGCCATGTGAAAAAGGAGAGGGCAGAACAGCCAGCAGCTTCCAGATACTTTCCCGTTGTTGCCACCTTCGTCTGAGCTTTGGCTTAGCATCAGCCCCATATATTTTTGCTGGGATCTACCCTTACCCACATGGGGACCCATTTTGGTTGTGGGGCTTACCTTAAGTGGTGAAGGATAGCTAATCGTTAGATTCTCACACGTGAGATAAATATAAGAAGCTCCCTTAACTCCTCTGGTTGCTGCATATGATTGCTGAACGGAGGAGAGGAATGACATTTGGGGGATTTCCACAAGTGAGGGGCCTAGAGACAGAGGTGCCATTTCTCATCACCACTTGGATACGTGTCTGTAGGGACAAGCTCCTGATTGCCAGTTCTCTGCTGAGCCGCATCAGCAGAACTCAAATGTTGCAGAGAGGTTGGTGTCACTGGGGACACGATTACAAGGGAGATGGTGGGTGCTCAGTAGCTAACAGATGGGTTTGGGGGAGGATATCTTGCTCTGGTGTGTGGAGCATTTCAAGAGGTTGATTTGAATGACTATCACCACATGTATGTCAGCTGCTGTCATAGAGCAGCTGGTGTGTTGTCAGCTTGATCTTTTTATTTTGTGTGAGGCTTTTTGTGTTTGGTCTTTTTTGGTGGTGTTTTTTTTTGTTTTGACTTGGGGTGGTTTTTTTTACTTTTGAAGAAGGAGAGGTAATGGAAGAGTTTTTGTTTATCTGGATGAGTTGTACTTCATCCTCACTGTGGAGTAAACATTGCTATAGTGAGAGGTATTTACTGCTTGTAACTCTGTATTTCACACCCTAAGGTTTCCTGTTGACTGGGAAAACTAAATTTCCTGTCAGTAGCGGTCACTGCATCCTCTGGCTCAGAGCATAGCAGGTAATTTTGTCAGGAGGTTGCAACATTTCTACCTACAGATTAGAATTTTTTTTATTTATTTCAGTAGGAAGCACGAACAGAGCATATTTGAGCCTTCCTAACTGTGGAAGGTAAATTTGACCATATAGGCCGAGTTCTGTTCTTGATCTTTGCATCGCTCAGGTTGTTGCCTCGGGAAGGCGTCTTACGCTTACTGTGCTCTCAGCTGATGTCCAGTTGTGGTTGGGGTGGCTCCATGTTGTAAGCATTCACAAAGATGCTCTGTGAGGTGCTTTGGAATCTCAGTAGAGGACATAAACACCAGAGTGCAATTAACTGCTTTCCTCTTCCTCCAGGCATTTCACAGGTGGCTTCCATCCTTGAGTCCAGGTAGCACCAATGTCATAGTGACTGGCAAGGACAACCTAACAGCAAGCTTGATCAACATCATCAGTTTTGACCTCCTCAGCAAGATGGACAAGCAACTTAAGAGCACTTTCCAAGTAGTTATTGTTGTAAGTGGTACGCTAAAATTTTGAAATTGTATGCTGCACATGGAGTAACCTTGGTGGTGTAGACAAGTGTGAAGTGATATTATGTAGGACTGAGACTACCTTGTAGTTAGTTGTGGCTGTGATCACAGCTTCCTTCATGAGCAGAAGCAGGAGATTTCTCTGAAATTTTTTGAGATAAGTTGTAGACTTGAATTCCTTTATGATTCCTGAGGCTTTGTTTTCTCTACTACTGGTTGCGTTGCCTCTCTGATTTCATAGTGATTGGACATGTCCGCTGCTGAAGAGAAAGGTGTTTAATGTGGTGTGTCAATACAGTCATCTTGGAATTGTATCTTTTTAAGGGGATTTGACTTCAGGGTGGGGTTACTGTTTATCCAGTAAACCAGATAACCTCTCAACATCAAGTATGTTGGTAAAGCGTTAAATAAAAATCTCACTTAGCTTGTGTTCCACTGACAATCTGCATTAAGCCTTCTTTGATCACTTGTATCATTTCTTGTGTAAATGACTTCGAAATCCATTTATTAACCTTTTACAGAGCTGTAGTAAAAGGAGGTTTTATTTCCTAGATTTTGGTTACTAAAATTTCAAAATGTCTAGCATTTCAAGTCCAGCTTGGATCACTAGTGACCAGAAGTGTAGGCATAGCTTAATACAAGCGTTTGATATTCTCAGTCTAGTTTTCAGCACACGTATGCACCTGTCTCTAAGATCATGACAATTGGAACATAATAATCCTTTTGTTTCTCAGCATCAGATAGGAATGTGGGAATAAATGGAGTTCTTTGGAGACCAAACTGCTCCTGGGGGAATTGATTTATTATTTGTTTTTACTTTTTTTTTTCTCTGCCCACTCTCTGAGGATACATTCTGTAGGGGTGGAAATGCAGATTGTTACTTTTGTATGCTAGTGCTTGGAGTAAAGGGACTTGGGCTCAAGGGCTACTGCCCTGGAACCTCTTACCAGCCTTAAGCCGACAGATGTTCTTTTTGTACGGTTATATGTTCAAATTTGGCCCCTGTGTATGGTTTTGTAAATGAGGGTAGTCCTACTGAGTGCTGAGCTTCCTTGCTTTTTCTTCCAATCTTATTTTGATATCTGGGAACATTAATGCAGCTTATTTGTTAATCAGGAGAGCAAAAGCTGTGCCTGAGAGGCTAAGCAGCTGTATTGTCTTTGCACGCATGGTTGCTTGCTCATCCAGACGTGGAAAGATGAGGATGTACTCTTGGAGGGTGCCCATTACTTCTTGTGTCAAAGTTCTGCCTTGCTTCAGCAGTAGAAATCAAGCCTGTTTGGGGGTGATGTCTCAAGCAGGAGGCTATTATCCACCTGGTGAGCCCTATCAGGAGAGCAGTTGGGTGCTAATTAGACTTTTTTCTCTTTTCATTTTCATTAACCCCTTATTTAGGGAAGTGGCACTGTATAGGCCTCCTATATTTGCTCCATTTAAAGCACATGTAGTGGTAGAAATAATGTTCCTCTTTTTCCTTCCCTCTCCAGCCCTCTCTGCTCATTTGTTTGTGATTGTTTGAGATTCATGATTTTAAGGTTTGATTTGTGTTCCATTTGCTTGCAGCTGCATGTTTGAATGTAGGAAGCCCTCTACTCTCCGTGCTGTCTTTTCATTTAGAATTTGATATGACTATCCTCTGGGGTGATAGGCTTTGTAATATTACATAGGTGAGAATCCTGCAGATTTGTTCTGTAGCCTGCAGTTGGGCCGTGGATCAGAACTGTCTTCACTTTCATGCTTATTATGTTTCAGGATGAATCTCATTACCTGAAGAACATAAAAACCGCCCGATGCCGAGCTGCCATGCCTCTACTCAAGGTGCGTGTGCTTGGTGCCAAACCTCCAGCAGCTAAGGTCACACTCCCAGAGTTGCTCAGTTCACCAGGTTTAGGTGCCAGCAGCTGAGTTCTGTTGTGCAAGTGGAAATCTAGGTGGTGTTGTAGATCCAAGAGCATAATTTGTCTCTGGCTTAGCCACTTCTTTCCATACAAACATTAGATGGTAAGATCTAACAAAAGAACTGCACGAGCTCCCTTGATCTGATTGTGGTGCTGTCACTGACGAGTTTTATGGTGGTGGGAAAAAGGGAGTGTCAAAACTTAGTGAATGTGTTCTACCCTTCAGAGAGGGTGGAAAGAATATAGTAGTGTCAGCATAGCTTGTTTAATGGAAATAATCGTTATCAGTTACTTCTTGACACACAAATGCTGTATATCAAAATTACATTATCTAGGTCCCTTCCTTGGCTTTGGATTTAGGCTCTACTCTGTTGGTGCAAGTTTCCAGTGGTTTTGTGTGACTGGGGGTGAGGAGCACTCCTGCTGGTTAAACATACAGAACTGGTAGAAAGTGCAGAGTGTGAGGTTAGTGAGACAGGTGGCCCACAGAAGGGGGGCAATATTCAGTTATTCAATAAGAGGAGAAATGGAAATTTTAGTGTCTGCCTGTTGTCCTGGGATCAAGGAATCAAACTCTCACGGGTAGCCTCTAGCAGATTAAAGTTAGGAGTAGTTTCTGTAGTTTCTAGACTCTGCAGAGTCTCCACATTAGGACAAAGTAAATGCAGTTCCTCTTCAGCAATTATCAGTAAGTGTGTGTAAAGAGAAGGTTTGATCTGTGATGGCTGTTCTCTTTAAAGGCCTGAACTCATCTCCTCTTGGCTTTCAAATCATTTCAGTCTGCTTAGGTTTGGAAACTAAGTAGGAGGTCCAATTTTATGAGCAGTTTGGAGCACAATGATTAGGGCACGTGTCTGAAAATGGTGAAAAATAACAAATTTACCTCATTGCAAGATGCACACAGTGGTCTCATCCTTTCCTATTTGTAGCTTTGTAAGGATTAGTTATAAAAATTACTTGCAGGCTACAGAATATAAAGAGTGAAAGATGGTAGCTGTTAAGTGGAGGTTAATTGCCTCTAGGCACTTACTGAGATTTTACAGTTTTATGCGTCACAGCGCTGGTCTCGGAGAATTGAGAACTGGTGCTTCGGAAACTGAATTTCAGTCTTCTGAGAGCATTAAGAGTTTCGTGCTCATGTCATGCATTATCTCACCTGCAAACTGCATACAGTACCAGATGTTTTGTGTTAGATGTTCAGGTAAATTGTACTCTCCTGGTTACTAACTATAACTTCTGAAGCAAATATTTGCCACAATCGCCACTCTTCTGCCCTCCTTGCTTCCTAACACAGGCATTTTGTGCTACAGCTATAGCCCCTCTGGCAGATTCGTCTTCTACCAGAGTGTGATGCTGTGTTCACTACTGGCACAGCACATCACAGCAGTGCTTTCATATTTGAAAAAGCTGCCAAAAATATGAGGAGTTTTCATCACTTGGATACTGGATTTAACAACTAGACCGTGTCATCTTTGTAGTAAATAGTCAATGCAATAAAAATGGGAATATTTTCAGTATTCTACATGATACTTTGAGATTGTTGAATAAGAGGCATTGCTAAACATGCTGCTGAGGATGATATCTTCCTCTTGCCTTCTTTATGCTAAAAGGATTAAAGTGGTACTGGGCCTCTTAGAAGAGACCAAAAAAAGGTGTATCCATAGGCAAGTCCTTGATTAGGTAAGTGCTTCTAGCACCTCAGTCCATACCTTCAGGTCACAGCCACACGAGGGCTGTAACCAGAGCCCCTGGAGCCTACTGGTGCCTTTTCTACCTTCTAAGCCATGCTACTTCCAATGCTGTTAGCATTATACTATTTTAAACGCTCTTGAAATTGCCATAGTTGCTTATATTTCTTACCAGGTTCCCAATATCCTAAAGCATGAAAGTTTAGCCTTGAACAGACTTTTGGGGACACAAAAGAAAAAAAAAAAAGGCACTATGAAATGTGATCGTTGGTCCTTACGTGCTACAGAGATTTGAGTCCGTAAGGACACTGTACAGATCTAAATTGAAATGTTTCTGTCACTGTCATCCATACTTGATGGATCCTTTTTATTGTGATAGAATCCGGTCCTGTGACTTTTTCATTTGAATGATAAGTAAAATACAGAAGTTGCTGTGAGTGTTTGGGTAGAACTGCACAATAATCAGGTTAAATCGATACGTTCATAATAAAGATAACTTACCTTGGACAGTAATTTCAAATCTGCCTTGTTAGACAGCCAAGCTGTATCTCCACCTCTGAAGTATTTAACCCATGGTCACAGCATTTAAAGCCTCATTTTAGTTTTAATATCTGACATTGGTTTTCAAAATGAAGAGATATTTTTAGCCATTTGATAATAATTCATCTTCTCCTGCTCTCTTTTATATATTGCAGAACAAGTGTGGCATGGAATTGTCAAGCAGGACCATGTATTAAACATGTGGCCTGAGTTTGTCAGTTGGAACTTATAGGCATTTTTTTTTTTAATATTAAAACAAAAACCAAACTCTGTGTGCAGTATTTGGTGTGACATACTTAGCTGCTGCCCTGACAGAGGTTTAAGAAAGTTTTACTTGGGACAGTGGGAATTGTGACCAGGCAGACATTTTACTTCAGAGTAAGCCTATAGAACTGTTGTGCGTGGTTTAATGTTACTGGACGAAACTTCAAGAGGAGCTTACAGTTACACAAATAGTAAGACAGGGTGAGCTGAAAAAGCAGCAGCAGAATGTTTAGGCCAGATTTCTTACTCCCTTTGCGTTCCCAGTGGATGTGCAAACTTGTGGGTGTGCACAGTTAGACATGGGGGAGAATCCTTCATCTGCCTACGTGGAACCAGGTGGCAGAGTTTGTACACACTCTGCGTACATCCTTGCAAAATTACGGAGGAGGATGGATTGAAAACCACAGCAGAAAAGAGTCCTTTGACGTTTTGGCATGTGGCACAACCCCTGCTTTCAGTCTCAGCCAGCGTTCACACAGGCTAGACCGTGCCAGCAGCTGCATGAGATCTGTCCCTAGCTCTCTCCCCTCGAGAGGGCTCCAAGTTCCTCTGTTCAAAATGGTCCTTTTGTCTTGTTTCCGTGCGCGTCGAAGTAAGAATTAGCCCGTGTTGCTGGGCTTTGAGTCACCTAAAGGCCTGGTCAGGCCTGGCTTGTTCCTGCCCCTAATCCAGAGCTCTGACAATAGGATCTACCTGTCACTTTGCTGTTTTCTTTAGTCTCATGGTTGGTACTGAATGTCCCTGACAATTCTGGTTGTTACTTTTGCCGCTGCCCTGCATCTGCCTCCCTCAGAGGCAGAAACTGTCATGGTGATACATGTTTTGTAAGCATTTTATTTTTTCCTTCCAAGATTAGACTGGCCCAGAGACATGAGCATAGGAGAGGGAGTGTACATGCTACCAATATCCATAAAGAGGAAAGCCCCTGGGGTATAGATGAAGAAGAAACAACAAAACAAATTTTTCACTGATCTGTGGTGGGATCTCTTGGGGACCAGAGTGAAAAGGAGTCTACATCCTTCGACCAGCCAAAGTGCTGCATAGTCTTTATTCTTCTGTAATTGCGTGGAGTACTGCGAGTCAGTGGAAACTGATGAAGGTCCCCATAGAACATGAATGACTTTTTTTTTTTTTTTTGGAAGCACAACAGCAAGTTTTTAGTGAAAAACTGGGTTAGAAACTGAGAAATAAGAAGTAGCATCTAATCAGAGATTCCAGTGGCAGAAAATGGTCTTATTTCTGTGCTCCCTATGGGCTTAGATCTACAACATTTGGGTAATATTACTAATGTGATTGTTCCTGTTGAGCTGCTGTTCAGGTTAATAGCATGATGCACATCCTGGTGTTTGCAGGGTTAAAGGTCTTTGTTTCTATTTTGAAGTCCAAATATATTGTGTGGCGGGAATCTAATACTCTTTGTGCATGATTTAATAAAGAGATGCTTAAAAATAATGAAGAGGAAATAGGTCAACGTTGAAGGTAGAAGGTGAGGAGGGAACACATAAAATCTCCCCTTCCAGTGGGAAGTAAATACCAGCTGTCTTTAGGCATTATAGATCCACATGGATTGGATAAATAAGCCTTTACTTGTTGTCACCTGCTGAGAGAAGGAATTTCATCTTAAAGTTGTAGAAGCTGTGGGCCCTCAAGGCTGCATCTTCCTATCTGCTTTTACCTTCCAATTTCTCTTCCTTCTCAAAATGGGGAGCAGTGTAATTTGTTTTAGTCATAGCTGATAGTTGCCTTTTGACACACATTCTCTGTCTAGATATCACTTAAAAATAGCATATTTTTTTTTAATAACCAATGTAGGATCATCTTACAAAACGCAGAACCCTGCCTATCCTACCCAAGTTCAGAAGCAGACTTCTCAAAACACTTGCAACCTTTTCCCTTTATCAAATCTTATATTTCATCTAGTGATTATATAATTACGGCCCCTCTCAGATTTTTCATTTTACAGGATAAGGTGTTCCTATGCTAAGCAGTTCAAAATTACAGAGTAAGCAAAAACTGTAGATACAAGTAATTTTACAGCCAGAATGAGCCACGCTTCCTTAAAAAAGTCTGTCAGTCTGTTAGCATATGGCAGAGCTCAAGCTGTGAAATTCGTTTAACACAGAGACAGTCATTGTATGTTAATGAGGCTCTTTGCATGTTCAATTACTTCTTTGTGGCATAACCCTCCTTTCTCACCTGCTCCCTTTTGAATCAGTTGAGTGCTGGATTTTGACCTCTAAAGGAAGTGTAATGGAGGGTTACTATTTCATTAATTATTCTTTGACTTTCAAAAGTGACTCTTGCAAGTGTTGTCACAGCTGTGGAGTTAATTCTGCTGGTGTGTTGTGTGTGTAAGTGTAATGCTGTAAAGCCACAACTCTCTTAGGTTACTTAATGAGTGCTACACACCAGTCAAGGTCAGAGTTCCCTTAAGCAGTCTCACAAAGTATGTGTAAGGACACATGAGAGAGGAGTACTTCTGGGGAAGATTAGACTTTTATGCCTAAATGCTAATGAGCAGCTAATGTTAGTTCTCCTATGTGGAGATACATCACACCAATTGATTACAGGTCTGGTTTGGGGAAAGTCCTAGCTGGTCCATGGAGTCTTCCTTTCTGTGCTGTTGTTGCATATTATTCTCAGAGACCTTGGAATAAAGAGGGTGCGCTCTCACTCTTGACACCAAAAAAAAAAGAATTAAGCAGTGATCAGCAGAGCCTTCTCTGCAGGAGCAAATCTTTAGGGGCATCTATTCATAATGAATTGCCACTAGAAACATAAATGTGAGTCAAAGTTATTTCCTTCATCCAGATTTAAGTAAGCCTTCAACATGTGGAAACTTGTCTTCCTAGGGTTTTATTTTTTTACTCTTATCCTGGGCTCTTTCTGTCATGGATTTTAAAACTGAAAGGCATCCTTGGAGTAATGAGGTAGACCACCTATGTTCCACACAATTTTCTGGAATTAATTTCTTCACAGCTCTTGTAGAGCTAGTGTGTCCTGGCTTTTTATAGTTTTTCTTTGTTGTTGTTTTTTTACTTCTGAATTTGTTTAAAATTTTTTATTGTAGATGATGTATCAGAGCCCTTGCTATGTGCTTGCAGAACCCTACCTGTTCAGAAATAAGGTGCACACAGCAAAACAGCAGCTGGACAAGTTGAGAATTCATATAACCTGTTACTTTGTCATTCTCTCTTTTGATACCTATTTAGGCATTGAGAGAAGGAGCCTGACTGTTTTGACTGTTGGGGACTTAGTTTTCCAACCTTGTCTCTATGTAGCTCCTGGGTAACACCCACCAAAGAGGAGGAGCTTTGAGAATGGCATAAACCTTTCAGCACGGTTGGGTTTATGTTGCATTTAACGGCCCTGGTGTATTTGGTATGAATTTTTCTTTTGCTTTAGCTTGATCCAGTTATTGGAAATGAGCTGTCTGTAACTGCATGACCTCCGTGTTGTCTTTTTCCTAGCAGTGGTCTTCTGTTAGTGCAGGAGGAAAATGTTTTTATCTTGGAAGTTTTTTTGCACATGTGGGACTGGCTTGTCTTGTGTTTCAGCAGATTCCTCAGCGTGGTGTCAGTTTATTCCTCAAAGGCTTCTGCAAGGCACCAGATCTCATCTAGATTCTGCTCAGTTGTCTTCCCCTGTTACCTTAATTTTAACAGCTGATCTAATTTGTGCTTTATCACTTTGTTTCCTTGTGAGATCTGATATTTTGGTCTCTGTGACTCTTGCCTCTTTTGACTAGTATAGGCACCTCCGTCTTGTGCAAACTAACTCTCAGCTTCTGACGTGTCCAAAGGCTTGGCCTCTCCTCTTGTGTAACTCAGTGAACATCCTACGTTTTAAAATGTTTATGGGAATTGTCTGGTCCTGGTGGTGATAGTATTTCCCTCTGACCTGTTTAAGTACGGATGGAGGGAGAAGGCAGGTGCCTCACCTTGATTACAACCTATATATAAAGATCTCGTAAAGCGTCCTGAAATTAATTTCTGGTAGCTGACCTGTGAACTCTTCTTCCACCAGATTTGGTTGGTGAGTGCATGAGTTGGCTGAATAGATTTGGGTGACTGGTAGATTTGAGTGAAACAATAAAAGAATTTAATTTTCTTTTTCATTTAAATGTGAATGAACTGTTGGTACAGATGTCACTCAACAATCTCTTTGTTATTTTAAGGAACCTGCATTAAACCATGCAGGAAATTACAAGGCATGTGTAGTTAAACTACTATATGTGAATTTACAGCAGTAGGAATTCACAGCTCTCATCTAATAATAGAATTAGATAATATGAAGGTAGAAATGCATCTGGGAGGCTTTTATGTCTATAGTGTTTGGGGTTTTTTTTCGCACTTCTTGGGAGCACCTACTTTAGATACAGGTTTCCCACCCTCTCCTGTCTCCCCTACAACACGTTTTACAGTCTTCTTACATGATTTCTATTTATCAACTGGTGTTCTGGCATCCAGCCAGCTGTGCCTAGATGTGCTGTAGCTGTCACATGGTCATCTTTGGTCTTGCTTCAGACAGCTTCATCTTTCTGTCCTTGCTAGTAGAATTTAAAAAGAGAAAATGAACAAGAAGTACGAAAAATAAATCCTACTTCTCTGGATCTCTCTGCTTTTGTGAGGAAGATAGCCTGTTTATGGCTTGCTGTGGCAGGCTTATTACAAGAGAATTTATTTTGGAGCTGAGAGGGTGTGTCATTTCCCTGTGACATCTGATTCCAAGTGAAGTGTTGAACTGGGCATAAGATATTAACATGTCTAGCGAATAAATGCCAATTCAGAAAGTACTGTCATAAAAATTGACGCTCCCTTCCCTTACAGCATGTGAATGATGAATAAGAAACAATATGGTTTGCCCTGCTTCCTAGAAGTTTTAAGCGCTGTCCTTGAGTGTCTTCAAGCAGTGAAGGCAGAAAGAATCTGGGGAAGGTGAAGTACCCTTCCTTTAGGTGCTTGGATGATGGCTCTGGGATTTTCTTTCAGCACTGGGGATGAGCTCTTAGCAGGTAAGGGATATGATAATGATGCTGTATTTTGCTTTCCCAGGCTGCCAGGAGAGTGATCTTGCTCTCAGGAACCCCTGCAATGTCACGGCCCGTGGAGCTCTACACACAGATCGCAGCGGTGCAGCCTGACTTCTTCCCACAGTTCCACTCCTTTGGGCTGCGCTACTGTGATGCCAGGAAGGTACTTCAGGGGGGGAAAGTGGCAAGCTCTTTTCGAAAAGCTAAAAAAAAAAATTAAAAAATGTAGAGGCTTTTTCTTTCCTTCCTTCTGGTTGATATTACAGCTTTTTCGGAGAAAGTCTCACCGCAGAGTAACATTTTGAAAACTCTCAACCTGAGAAGCTCTCAGTGTTGCAATGATGAGCCTGAGACATGGAGGTAGTAGTGCTTCTTGTCAAAGTCTGCCTGCAAAACTATGAAAGTAAAAAGCTTAATAATATAAAATGACCATAGGTATTCATAGGGGAAAGGAGCCTATTCTAATAAGAACTTGCCCTCAGATTGTTTTAAGCTGCTGCAGGTTTAGGCTAACTGATTTTTAAAAATGCAAAACCAGTTTCTAGTCTCCTTTAGTGACTGTTAAATGAAGTAAGGTCTCTGTTGCTTGGGATTTTGAATTTTACACCTCCAGGTAAGTAAAAAAAGACTTAGTCTTTCTTTGTATTCCACCCTCTACTAATTCAGATCCTCAGCATATCTTGAAAATAAATTAACTACTTTTATCTCTGCCAGCTGCTCAGTGGTGGTTTCAGCAGAGTCATTGAGTCCAACCACTGCAAGATCTGAGCTTTGCAGGAAGCCATGATGGCAGGTGTCTGGCTTGCTCTCAAAATATGGGCAACTCATCTGTGCTTGGATTTGCCATCTCTAGGGCTGCTGTGTGTGTTGAACACACACTGCAAAGAGAAGAGCTCTTTCTGCTGCCTTTTGTACAAGGTGACTCTGGGATCTTCTCTGCTGGTTGCATAGATGCAAAAAGGGGAACCAGAGTTCCCCTGAGTTCTGATTTGGAGCAAGAGCCCTCTGGTTTGCCCACCAGTTCCTCCAAGACGAGCGTGTAGCGGTTAGCATGTGTCACAGGATGGCTTGGCAGCGTGAGCGTGGATCTGTGGAGCATGAACTTGCTTGGTCCACTTTGTTCTTGAGTAATCTATTTCACTTCTTGTGCTTCATTTTCTGCAAAGCTGGGCAATAACTTTCAGCAGAGTGGTCAGGAACACCAAGTGACTGTTTTAATGCTCCAAAATATTTGCAGAAGAACTGAGCATTGTGAGTGTATGCCATAAAAATAGTTATAACTCTCTGTAGGGTTTGGGGTTTCTTTTCTCTTTGGGTTAGCTAACATAGGCCAAGTTTCAATCACGGAGATTCATACTTTGGTCTTATATATAAAGTTGTGGAGTCCATATTTTCCTAGATCTGAATGCCTGCTTTTGCTGTTGGTCTTGTATATAAAGTTGTGGAGTCTGTATTTTCCTAGATCTGAATGCCTGCTTTTGCTTTCAGAGCTAGTGTAGTGCCGTTCTGTGTATGTCCAAACATACACAGAGGAGTGTTTTGGTTTTGGTACTCGTGCTCATGCCATTGATTCAAGTAAGGCCATTGGTGTGCAGCATCACAGATACAGAGCTCGAATTCTGGAAGGTGACAGCATTCATGTAACAAAGCACTGAGTTCCTGGCAGAGGATAAACTTGCAATTTCTTCATCCATAGTAGGAACCATAAGGAGACAGAGGGCATGTCTTCTGCTGAGCTTCATTATCTTTGTTGGAAAATTCATGTCTAAATAGTGTCTGGAATGCTTTCTGGAGGGAAATAAAGAGATGCAGGTTTAATCTTGTTGGTTTTCTGCAGTAAAAAGGAAAGTTGAATTGCAATGCATGAGTCTAAATGGGTTTGGAGTTTCATAAACCCTTTGAGGGTAAAGCTGTTGCTTCAATTACAAGGCATATGGACCTCAGGTAAGATGTTGAATTGGGTAAAAGAAATAATGGTTTTACGGGATTCAGGTTGTAGCAGTGTGTTCTGTGTAAATGGGTTTTCAGCCTATGGTGAAGTGCAGCCTGGAGGCCACAGTCTGTATCAGCTGCGCTTCAAAACCTGTGCAGGGTTTCTAGTACAACTTTGTTTTTCTGTTTGACCTGCCGCTACTGGACAGTTGAACATTGCTCGTCTGTGACATTTTGTTTCAGTTAATGTCAGTAAATGATAGAGTGAGCCTTGAGTCAATTTGCTTATTTGGAGATATGGGGCTGCTAGAAGTGGTGTGGATAGTATTAGAGGTAAAAATGGGACTGCTCAGGCAATGAGTAAATTAAAAGGGGCTTTGTTCACCGTAGTTGTACATGACTGTAGTATGTCCCTCATGTTCCTTTTTGCAGCTCTAACCTGAGGTTGTGTTAGGAGCTACATCCTCTGTGAAGAACTCTTGTGGTATTTCTGCTGTCATTACTTAAATAGGTTCTTCTTCCTGTCCTGAGAGCTGCAGCATTATGAGTGGAGATGGAATTGCACAGAACCAGAGAGATTTTCCAAGGCTTTTGGAGATCTGTCAGGATGAAAGGTGCTATGTAAAAATATTTTGGTGTTTAATAATAAATCTGATTGCATTATAAGATTAAAGAAAAATTGACAAACTTGAACCATTCAATTTAAAACTAAAACCTGGCTAGTTTCCGTTTGAAGATAATAGATTTTATGACAGAAGCTTTTAAATACCTGGCAGATATGATTACAAAAGATATAGAATAAAAGTTTGTCGTTTTGTAATTCAACATCCCAGCATCTGTACTCTTAAAAATGCAGCAAGTGAAATATCACCTGCTTATTTACAAAATATCTCAAGTCTGTTTCCCAAAATACATGCTGTGAATTCATTTTTCTAACTGGATGATGTTGGCAAATATTAAATAATTTCTATCTGAGCACATGCTCTGAATTTGTAAGATTTTGGCAGCTTCTGCTAAGAGTGTAGTAAGTTTACTGACTCATGTAAGATGCTGTAATGCTTTGGTAAGAAAATCACAGTTGGAAACATTTGTTCTGGAATGTTATGGATCAAAGCCAGGTACGTATTTTGGCAAAATAAATGTCCTTCTCTTTTTATCTCTTTTTATCTCTTTTTTTTCCAACAATAGGATATACTAAAACTATTCCACAGTAGGATATATTCTAATAATTCCAAAAAATAGTTTTTATCACTAGCTAGATGCAAAACAGAACTAGTATGTTTCCTTGTTTGCAAATCGATGCAGCAACAGTCACCATAAAAGAAATACAGTAACCTGAACACACTGTAGTGATTTTTAACCTGACAGTAGATGGTATATTGACTCTGTTTGTGCCTCGTG